TAGTATAAGAGAAAAACTTTCTTAAGCTCTTTAAATCCTTCTAATATTATATATATAATAAAATAACTATTATTTCTCTTAATATTTATAAATATATTTTTAATATTAAATTAAAAAATATATATATTAAATTATATTATTAAAGTAATAATAATATAAAAAGACTTTACTACTAGTATTATAATATATATTTCTTTACTTTTAATAAGTATTTAAAGGTCTTCTTATATAACTATTTAAGCTTTATACCTTAAGAGTATATTATTAAGGTTAAATTTATATATAAATACTTACTTTAATAATATTAGCTTAACTCTTACCTCTTTATTTACCTTTAACTATATACCTATTTAATTAAGCTCCTTTATTTTAAAATATATAGTAAATTAAAATTAATTATATAATAAGTAAATTTATATTTCTTTTTAATTTTATAAAGGTAATAAAAGTATTATATTTAACTAAGGAATTTTTATACCTAAGATTACTTTTACTAGCCTTTTAATATTTATATACTTTTTTATAACTATATTAAATACTATAAAGATTATTTATAATAACTATTAATTATCTAATATATAATTCTACTATTTAAATAAAATTATTAATAATATATCTTTAGGTTTATTACTTAAAATTATAATATATATCTTAGGCTTATTTAGTTAATTAGTATAATTCTTAACCTTTTCTTTAGCCTTTTTTTTATTAATTTAACTATTTTTATAAGTTATATTTAATAGTTTATCTTTAATTATACCTATTTAACTATATATAAAAATATCTTCTTTAGCTTAAAGGTTTATAACTTCTTATATTTACTTTAGAGGTTTTTTATTTAATTAATTAAGTAATGAAGTTATTAGATACTTATTTAATTATTTCTTTAGTAGGTAAAGTTCTTATAAAATATTTATAATAATTTTTTAAGTATTTAGTTTTAGTATATTAGAAGATATTAAAAGTCTTATTATTAATTTATATATATAACTAAATATAAGCTTTTTAGTTTTTACTTTTACTAACTTATAACTAAAATATTATTCTAATAAATAATATATATCTTCTTATATAGTAAATTTAATATCTTAAAGAGAATTATTAGATATATTTAGGTCTTACTAAGTAGGCTATTATTCCTCTTAAAGAATATTTAGCTAATTAACTAAATAATTAATTATTTACTTAACTACCCCTAAGCTAGGGATACCTAGTAAAGTATTAAGTATAAAAAGTAGATAAAGGTATTTAAACTTTTTAATCTTCTCTAATTAAGTTTTAATTTTACTAATTAAAAGCTTAAATAAGTATTCTTTATTTATTTTATATATTATATCTTTATTAAATTAGATATTTTATATAATAATTATATATTTAAAGACTAGAATCTAGATCTAATAAAGGTTAGTTATTATATAGTTAATAAAGTAGCTAATATAATCTTAAGAGCTAACTTTATATTATTTTTAGTTTTTATTCTCTTTTTAATTATATTTAAAGGTATAAATATAATAATTATATACTAGTAATAAGCCTTAGTTAAACTACTTATTACTACCTAATTAGGTAATAAATAACTTTAAATTTAACTTTAATTAGTTATATAATATTTTATATAATATTTACTAATTATAATATTTTCTTAAGCTAATATTTAATAAGTAATATATAATAATTATAGCTTTTAATTATAGGTTTAAAAAGAGGCTTACTTTTTTAATTATTATAATTACCTTAGTCTATATTTCCTAATTTATATACTTTATATTTTTATTTAGCTTATATATTCTAAGAAAAGTAATCTCTAGCTTAATTTTAGAATAATAAGCCTAATACTAATAGATACTTTACCTATATATACTAATAAGTATAGTCTTATTATTATAATATAATATATATATATAAAGTTTAAATTAATTTTATATCTAAACTAAAAAAGTTAATATATAGTTAAATAATATATTATAACGTAGTTAATAAACGAGTCACGTAGATAAGTAAGTCATGTACTCTACCTAGTTTTTACTATAACCTACCTTAGTATAACGATAGCTTATCCCTAGTCTATAGTTAGTCTATTTCTTAAGAAGTAAGTTAGGTTTAAATACTATAAGATAGTAATAAGTAGT